ATGGACAAGGCACAAATGTTGAATAAAATTTTCTCCTTTTTCTCTGGTCTAGTTTAATGTACCGAACGGATTCAAAATTGATTTGATTTTTCCTCAACTCCGACTAAAAGACATATTTCTTGTTGCAGAGCATTTATTATTGAATGGTTAAATTTGGCCTTAACTGACCTAAAAAAGATCACGTTTACTTAGTTTTACTTCCGATCAGACTTGCACTTGGATTTCCAAAGTTATACTTTAATAGCTGGCAGACTTTGGGCCTGCTTTTGATGGAGTGGAATTGCCTCTGCATTCAAATCCTGCTCCTTCCCTGACTGCATGCATGAATCTTTATCCTTCAGTTTTCTGATTTTATTTTTGACTATTTATGTGCTTTGCTAATCAACAAAGATGTGCTTTTGTTTTGTGACAGGATTTTATGATCTTTGACCATTCAGTATTTTCTGGAATGGCTGATATTCATGACCGGCACAGGGACATGCGACTTGATGTCGATAACATGTCTTACGAGGTAGAAAAAAGTTCCAAATTTTGATGCATATGCGTACTCTTTTTACTGCCTTGAGCCCTTAACAACCCCCGCCCAAAAAAAAAATCGAATTTGAAGTTGATGTTTCATCTGGTGAATTCCTCGACATATAACTTAAAAAAATATCGCAGGAGTTACTGGCTCTGGAAGAAAGGATTGGAAATGTGAGTACCGGATTGAGCGAGGAAACTATATTGAAACTACTGAAACAGAGGAAGTATTCAGTTGAAGGAGGGTGTCAATGTGAGGCAGAACCCTGCTGTGTGTGTCAGGTGAATATGAATAACCGGCTTCCGGTGCTTTGCCCTCTACATGCTTGTATAATATTCTGAAGCATATGGTTCCTTAACTCGTGTGCAGGAAGAGTTTGACAATGGAGATGACGTTGGAAAGCTTGACTGTGGCCATGATTACCATACCAACTGCATCAAACAGTGGCTAATGCAGAAGAATCTGTGTCCCATTTGTAAGACAACGGGCTTGTCAGCGTGAGATTTGTTTCTTGATCCCTCGACAATTTTATCTCCGAAGATGGAGATGAAAGGAAAGGTGAAGATGAAGTGAACTAGCATAGCTACCTCAGAAATTTTGGTTAATTGAAACGAGAATCGGGTGCTTCTATTGCTTCGTTTACTATGTGCAGACTAGTAAATGGCTGCTCCGTAGCACCCATTCTGCTTTCGAAAGCTTTCCTTCATCCGCCCCTCGATTTCTTGTTATAGTATATTTGTTTTATATTTATCCAAGGCCAATGATCTCCACATGTCACTGATAATTGGTGTTGAATCAATTGTTATTGGCCTTGATCTCTAGTCGATATGGCTCTGTCTACAATCTTCTGTAAAAGAAATTGCTACATTGTTCATGGGCCTCCAATTGGATATTTGGGGCTAAATTTTAAGCTTAATTCTAGTATTCCTTCCGTCCCTTTTATAAGTAACATTAGATTCTAGCCCCTCTTTATAAGCAACATTGGATTCTGTTCTGTTACAGAAATTAAAATGTTAGTTAAAGACAACAACAAATAGGTACAAATTAAAAGTTTTTTCCCCAAAATATCCGTATTTATAGGAGAGAGAGAATATAACAAAGAATAAGAAAATTAGTATTCTTTTAGTCTTATTTATAAGTTATTTTTAATATGTTTTACACAAATAAAAAAAATCTTAAATTTTGTTAACTCTAGTTTGAAATGTAATAATTTTTCAACTTTATTTTTATTTAATATATATTATACCTCATAAATAAAATTAACATAATAATAAATAAAAGGTGAAATTGTGTATCTATATAAAAAAATTTCTTTCAATGCCTTATAAATAGAATTAGAGGAGTATAATAAGTAGAACTGTGAAAAAGAGAAAATACAAATAGAAATGGTGGTTTGAAAAGAAGATGATAAATATATTGAGTACTAATGTAAGTTATTAATAGAGACAGAGTAAAAAATTTATTACAAAAATTTAAGACAACTTATAATAGTTGTTATTTATAAAAAGAGGAGGGGAGTAGAAATTCTCTGAAGTTGTAGAAACACCTTTGTGCTGTCTTGTTTCACAGTTTTCATTGAACTTAGTTGATATTAATGAAAAAGGAAGAGGTTTTAAATAATTCTTCATTTAACAATGAGGCTGTAAGTTCGAGTAACCTAGTAGTATGGAAGTTATGATTGGGAGATTATCGGTTTGATGAGAGTGGAAATGGTGCAAGTGCAAAGTGATTTTCTTTCGCTGCTTGGGTTTGGGCATTTTCAATGTGATGGAAATGAAATGAAATGGAATGTCATTCTTCGAAATGACAGGGGAAGTTACCATCCTTCTCTCATTAAATTGAACGTGACCAGTAGTACAGAAGGGCAGATAAAAGAGCCCCACTCATTTAATTTGATGCCTGCACAACTACTATAACTGGTCATGGTAAATGTGGTTTTCCCAGTTATGCACGCATCAAAATCAAAGGCTGCTTTTCTGACTTTGGCCACTTTCACTTTAATCAGTGGCTTTTACTCTTTATAGTATGTAACAACATTTTTTGGTCCAAAAAAATTTAAAAACTTCTCATGCGTATTAAAGTGTAAAAAATATTTCAGTCTTCTTACCTAGTTTATTGAAAAATAAGAAATCAGAATAAAAGAAAATGGGCAAAATGTTTTGTATTTTAGTATTATTTTTACTTGGTTAAACCTGTGTCCTATACAATAGTAACATCTTACTTTCTTTTCATATGGTATTAAATGTAATCAGGACTCAAATTTTCAATTCCCTTCTAAATTATATATGAAAAGTGATCCGTTTACAGTGAATGTGACGCGAAATCTCCATCAAAACCTAACCACCTAGAAAAGAGAACCAAAGGGTCGAGGGCATTCAGTCCAAAAAAAAAAAAAAGGGTCGAGGGCAAGAATAGAAATAATGATTAGGGTTGCATAACACTATATCCAACATGAATATTGGATAATACTACTCTGGTTCTATTTATAGGGCAGAAAGAGAAGGTTTTTTTTTATCCTATTTATAGGGCACTTCATTAACTTTTCAGTGTGAATGTACTATTTTGTCCTTCATTTATTATAATGTAAGTAGTTATCTTTTTTGAAAGGAGTATATATTAAATAGGGGTGAAGTTGGAAAGTTGCTATATTTTAATGGAGAGTTAATGCAGTTTAAGGTTTTTTTTGGTTTGTGTGAAACATGTTGGAAGTGCCTTATAAATAGGACCAGAGGAGTACATCACATTCCATTATGAGACTGATTTTTTTTTTGGCCAATATAATGAGACTGATTCAAACAATATTAAATGAAGTATTGATTCCAATGGGGCTGGATGGTTTAGGATAATTGATTAAGGCACCGTTTGGATGTTTGCCCAAACCATGGTTTGGGTAAAAAACTACCCAAACAGTCATTCCAAAAACCAAACCATGGTTTTGGGTTAAAACCATGGTTTTGACTCCAAAACCATGGTTTTGAAAAAAGCAAAAAATTTTTGCTTTTGAAGAAAAGAGGGAGAGTGTGAGAGCCTATAGGATATGTATCTTGTTATTTTTTTTATAAACATATTTTTTTATAAACATATTTAATCTTATATTTTATAAATATATATACATATTAATTATTTATTAATTATATTATCTTATGTATTATTAATTATGTTGGTAAAAAATATATTATTAATAATTTTATTCCTTCAAATTAAAATATATCATAAAATCTATTTTTCTATAATTATCATATTAACTTATGTCTTTTTTTTTAGTAATTTGTGTATATAAAAAGTGCTTCTGATAACAACTATCCAAACACTCTCACTTTTCAAAATCACTCCAGAATCTATTCTTCACAGAATCTATTCTCCAGAATCACTTTTTCAAATCACGGTTTGGTTTCATCCAAACACACCCTAATTGTTATGGGGTTGGAGTGAGTGTTTGAAAAGCAACACGGTTTCCAAATTCCTGTTAGCTATTCTGAAGAATCCAAGCTTGGCGTTGGAAGAAAATTACAGGGAGAAAGTTGAGGTGATTGGATGAGGCGGCGAAAAGGAGGAGGTAGGAGAGAGTGGGCCCACGTCCATCTTCCCGTTTTGTCTGTTTTCTTCTCTTTAGGGGAGGGTTGGGGGGCCCACCTTTGTGAGCAGTAGATTATGTTGATGTTGGTATTCACCCGTGATATCAGCCCACATCCGACAGCCCGGTTTGAGTTTGACACCCATCCACCCTTCATTACGACAGATCATGCTGGTCCCACCTCCCTCGCAACTTAGATATCACAATATCATTGGCAGTTAAACAATTTAATTTAATTTAATTGTTTTTGGTTTTTATAAAAAAATCCATACCATTCACTAACATAATATTGAAATGAGCCATTCTTTCTCCATAGGATAAGAGAATTTGGATCTTTCCTCATGACTAGTATGGATTGTCCATTCTCATAATTATTTCTTTAAAAAAGTTAATCTAAATAAAATCGAGGAAATTCCAATAAAATAAAATCATTTTAAATTCTGGAAGTTATTATAAGTGAAAAGTCTGAGTTCTGGATCCCCCGAGTGCCAAACCTAGGAGGCACTAAAGTGAACTTCACACATATAGTTTGATTATGACACATTGATGTCAAAGAAATACTATAAATTTCATGCTCAAGCTTTAAATTCATGAATTCATTCACGGGTTGAAAATTAATCACGACCAACCAACACTAAGAAAGTCCAGAGCAAGGGTCAACCTTCCCAGATGATTAATTTCATTGATTAAATTAAAATAATAAAATAGAGCACCCGGTGGGCATCTTGACTTTTCGATGCTCCCTGCATTATAAAATGAAGTCGATTCCTGGAAAGGCCGATGCTTTTAGAATTTTATAATCAAAATGGTATGGGTATCAGTACTAATCCCGACAACAGGATTTCATAAACATTTAGACAATCCCCTAATACGGCGTATCTATCTCTTTACACAGTGGCTTCTGACCCAAACATGAAATTAGAAGCAGACAGGGTTTTGATGCTGCTGAGACGCTAAGTGCAACTATCCTTACTTTCTGGGAATAAATCAGAACATCGTTTTGGAACACACAGAAGGGAAGGGGCCTCACAGAGAAAATAGTAAAACACTTCATAGTGGGAAATTTCCTTCGTCTATTATACAAGTCCCATCATGCCAGCTCCATTCCTTCTCTGTCTAAACCCCACTTCGTTCCACTGCCACACCCACTCTCCGTCCTTCTAACATCTTGCTGTACCTTCTTCTTCCTCTGCCTCTTTAGCGGCCTGATTCTATCAACATGCCTGCGACTGTGTTAGCCAATTAAATTAAATCCCTGTTGAGAGGAAGGAAGAGGAGAGAGCAATGACGAACTATGTGTTTCTGAACGATCAGCTTTCGACGCACACCTCAATTTTTGGGTTACGATTGTGGGTTGTGCTGGGCATTTGCGTAGGAGCAGCTATAGTTATTGTTCTGTTTCTCATATCTCTCTGGTTCACCAAGCGCAACAACAATTCCTCCAACCACAACTCTTCACACAATCCTACCATTCCGAATGTCTCTAAGGAGATCCAGGAAATCAGGATTGACCCTTCGGGTGACCCAAGCCATGGAAAGTCCGACTCGTATCCAGAAGCAGAGGCTAAGGCGGATGGGGCCCAAGCCATGCTCGTTCAGCAGCAGGGGGATGGTAGCCAAAGAATTCACATAGAGATTGGTAAAGATCACCGGATTTCGTATCCTGAGAAGGGTGGTGGTTCATCGCATGGAAGTGGTGACCAGGGTTCAATTTCTGTGCCTGAGGTTTCGCATTTGGGGTGGGGCCATTGGTACACTCTCAGAGAGCTCGAGGTCTCTACCAACGGGTTTGCGGACGAGAACGTCGTAGGTGAAGGCGGCTACGGAATTGTTTATCGCGGGGTGTTGGAGGATGATACCAAAGTTGCGATTAAGAATTTGCTGAACAACAGGTAAGCCGTACTTGATTGTAATCTTCTTTGTCATATGGTATAAGTTGTTATGGACTCCATCTTCCATTAAATGGTTTGCGCACTGATGTTGTAGGGGACAAGCTGAAAAGGAATTTAAGGTAGAAGTTGAAGCAATTGGACGTGTTCGGCACAAGAATTTGGTGAGGTTACTTGGATATTGTGTTGAAGGAGCCCATCGGTATGTTTTTCATTGTTCATTATTTACATCTTTGATTTCCCTTTATAGTTGTTAAGACTTTCAAACTACTGCGCTGGATGCCTAAACATTTTGCGCCAAATTTCACCTGAATGTACTAAAAATATTGCAGGATGCTTGTGTACGAGTATGTGAACAATGGAAACCTAGAACAGTGGCTTCACGGGGACCTTGGGCCTTCTAGCCCTCTGACATGGGATATTCGCATGAATATAATACTTGGAACAGCTAAAGGGTATGCATTTCCGTGAATTTCTCTTTTTCTCCAACATTATTTCTTGTTTTACGTGATTGCAAATTGACGACGGGGGAATATGTAGGTTGACATACCTTCACGAGGGACTCGAACCTAAGGTGGTTCACCGTGATATCAAGTCAAGCAACATATTGCTCGATAAGCAATGGAATCCAAAAGTCTCTGATTTTGGCCTTGCAAAGCTCTTGGGATCAGAGAGAAGTTATGTAACAACACGTGTGATGGGAACATTCGGGTCAGTTTGATTTCTTCTTAGAAAAAATATTAAAACATTGTTTTTAACAGTGGTGACCTGGACCTCACTGGACAGGTGACTTGGTCTGTTTCACAGGTATGTAGCTCCAGAATATGCCAGTACTGGCATGTTAAACGAAAGAAGTGATGTGTACAGCTTTGGTGTGCTTATCATGGAGATAATTTCTGGAAGAAACCCGGTCGATTACAGCCGGCCTCCTGGAGAGGTTTGTCTGGTGATTTTATACGAGTATCATGTCACGAGGTCATTTCAAGCATACTCCACCCTCAAATGTGCTATTTCTGGTAATAATTGAGGATTCAATCTTGTAGGTGAACCTGGTTGAGTGGCTGAAGTCCATGGTTGCTAGCCGGAATGCAGAGGCGGCGCTTGATCCTAGGCTACCTGAGAAGCCTTCTTCAAGGGCACTGAAGCGTGCTTTATTAGTAGCTCTGAGATGTGTGGATCCAAATGCCCAGAAAAGGCCAAAGATGGGCCATATTATACATATGCTTGAAGCTGATGAGTTCCCTTTTCGAGATGTAAGTCTGTAAATTTCTCATTTCCATCTACATCTCTGCTACATTTTAGGTATGAAGCATGCCTTACCAAGAACTTTTCTGCATCACGGATCTTTTCTTGTCCACAAACAAATTGTTATGACTTGTTAATCTTGTTTGTTTTCTTCCTTAAAAGAACAGTGTCTTATGTCTCCAAACAGACAAATTTAGATCATTATTGCAGTGCGCCATGCTCTCTTCCTCTGTTCAGGCGTCACTTTGATTGTCAATTGTAACTCTTTTAGGACCGAAGAACCGGAAGGGAAAACGGACGCTCCCAGCGGATGAGCACGAGAGATGGGTTGAAGGATAAGCAAATATGTGAATCAGGTGAAAGTAGTGGATATGAAAGTAGTGTCCAAACTAGCAAGTCCATAAGCAGAAACCAAGAAACCGAAGACCAGTAGCCTTTCTGGAGCTGATTCACAAGACAACAAGGTGAATTGACGCCAAATATAGAGATGACACGAACATCATTTACTCTCCTGTATGTATTATTCGTGTATGCTTGCCTGGTTTTTTTGTAGATTCTGCAGGAATGCTTATTTGCCTTCTGGTATTAACTTGTATCTCAAGATATTCCGGTTCCTCTAATGTGTTGTCTAAATATTGTAGAGGGAAAGAATTCTTTTAATCTTATTAGACATGTTATTTACTTTGATTGGTACGAGTGTGTCATCAAAGCCAACATTCACTTGAAATGTATTCTTTTGTTTTTGCAATATGAGCTTCTAAAGATACGCATGCTGCTATTTGATGTTCAATGGCGATTACTTAGTCCCTTGCAAGAAAGAAGAATAAGATTTCATGACTTCTTAGAAATGATTTGATAAGCTAAATATATTGTTATCATGGTAGATTGTTTATTCAGAGGTTAGTGATAATATCTTGACTGTAAAGGGCTAAGCTGCAGAGCGGCCTCTTTAATACATGCCTGATTATTAATGAATGATTATCAGATAGAAGTACAGCGCCATAGACACCTCTTCTTATGATACTAATTCTGCTGGGACATCGTATCCCATAAAAGCGATGTGCTCGTGTATTAATTTTAATGACACAAATTCTCTTGATTAAAGTTCCTGCTATACTAGTACACTTTATGTTGTTGGTTGCGCAGTTATGTTTATAAAAAGCTTTGGTCCCACGCCTATTCAAGACATGTCGTCAAGTTTTGCAATGTTAAGTCTTCAAACATGATTGTACTTTTTGTCTTTTTGGTCAATAAACATGATTTTGTCCGCAAAGACGCTTGGAATCGCAAGGGCCCAGGCTAAACTGTAAGGGTAGATTTAGTCTTAGTGCTTATTTGGCATCATGATTGGGTCCAAAAACACTTATTCATATAATTTGAGACAAAATTATTTTTTAATATTTATCTCGTATTTTATAAATTATGATTTTGATCTCGTAAATCATGATTAAAAAATTACTTTTGAAGGATTCTTCCCTCGTTCCAAACAAGCACTTAATGGATACATTAAAAAAAAAAAAGCAGCTTTCCATTTATCAAAATTCTATTTCAAGAGATGGGGAGCGGCAGATAAAATGAATACTGGTAGGTTACTGTCGGGGCCAAAAAAATTAGAAAGCAAAAGATTAATTAATGAAGAAAGGAATAATTATTAATAATTATAGCAAGGAATAACCTCAGACTGCGATTGGAAATGGCAAGAAAAAGCATTGCTGTACTGTGGCTCGACAACAAAAATTTCTTTTTCTGTTATTGGTAAACCCAAAAAAAATAATCCTAAACCAGTGGCTCATGGAATGCAATTTTTATTTCTGCAAAAGAATCATTGCTGGTGGCTGGGGGAATATTTAAAATATTTGGGAAAAAGTAGGTACATGGTTCAAGATTTTCTCAATCAACTGGTCAAGTTACAGGCCATTTGTTTTGGCATTCACAGGCATTGGAAGCTATTCCTAATAGGTTTTGGATGGACTCACATTCGTGGTTCATAAGTTTTTGCAACAGTTCCTGAGGACAAAGTCCATAGTGGATGATGTGACCTTGCTGATTTGTCATTTTAAAAAAAATGCCATAAGGAAACAATAAGCCAACAAAATGTTCTTCAGGACAAACAAAAAGACTAACCAGATGTTCACTGAACCAATGGCGATAATTGACCTGAAATATGAGGAACCAAAGAACGACCAATGTGACCAAGTGATCATTGAGTTAGGGAGAAGAACAACTTGACTGTTGGAAACTTGGAAAGAATGACCAATAGCATAATGGGAGCCCCAAGCAGGAGGTTGAAATGATGCCCCTTTGGAATTTAAACAGACGATTTGGTTAGATTAAATATTCCATCCCAATCTTACAAAGCGCTCGACTTCAGTGAAAATGATTTCTGCCATATACGCAGCCAATTAAATATTGACATGCCATGCATTATTTTTCTTGCCTATATTTGGGGGTCCCCATTTGTTTCTGTTCATTTTATCAAGCTATGCTGTGCTGGAATTTATGGGGGGGTAGGGACTTCAGAGTTATCCCTAGCCAACAAAGAATTTGTCCGCGCATAGCAGCAATTGGGGACAACTAGCACTTGGATCGGCTCTCTCTGTTTTCAAATTTTAATCGTCATTGTGATTATTTTATTATGTTCTCAAATTAATTCAGGACCACTTTTTTTTTTTTTTGAGTAGTTCACTCTGCTATACCACAAATCTTCTCCGTTCCCCACTGTAGATATGGACAGAGCGGTTTAGACTAGATGTTTCGTAAAAAAATTACTAACAGGTTGAAAAAAAAATCTTTTCCGACTTGTAAAAGGAAAAGTTAGATTTGGATCATTAACTATAAATCAGACAGTCTGAATTAGGATAAGAGAATGAAAAAAATGAGCAGAGCAGAGAATCCGGTCATGTCTATTGTATGGATTTTTGTTGGCAAGCGTGGTGGAATATTGTGGATCTAGGGAAGAACTGGTGAACGTGTACTTGGCTGCACTGCATTTTCTGTGAGCTCATACAAGTAATTTGAAGCAACAAGTGAATTTTATTCCCCGAAATTGATTTATTTACCTCTATTTTTTAAAATTTGAGACATTATCAGGTACTAATTATAAATACCTCTCTTAGTGAGAAGTCAGACTTTAATTTATTACATAGCCAGAGACTTAGGGTCCGTTTGGGACCACGTTTGGACCCTCAAATGTGCGTCCCAGTCTGGCTTTTAAGGTGACTGTGGTTTTACATGTTTGGATCTGCGGTGGGGCTATCTGACTTCTGTCACTAAAACAGACTTATATAATAAGCTCAAAAAAGCTGCTTTTCTCCAATCTGACTTCTGTAAAAGTCAAATTGAAAAAAAAATTACTTCTCAACCGCTAATCCAAACACGCCTTTAGTCGGAACTAGCATTGCTTGGCTGAGATTTATAGATATTTCGTTCCCCTATAAGAGCCCAATACTAGATAGGCCTCGCTTGTCACGCACTACTGGTTTTTTTACGGGGGAAGACAAAACCAACCTATAACTCGCCCCAAGGCACAACAAATCACGTAACCATCCAAAGAAATAGAAGGCCAGGAGCCCAAGACAATTAAGAGAGACGGCGAAGAGCATGGCAGGGCCCAGGGTACTGGCCCACATGAAATTTGTACGGCAACGAAGGATCTCTGACTCAATCAACACCTCACCTCAGATTTCATTCTCACGGGATATCTAGGAAGTGTCACTAACGAAAGTCTACACTCAATTTCAAGATGGCTCCTCAATTTAACATCTTGAAATACTTGCCGTAGAAAAGTTTAAAATCGCCACTTCTGAATTCAGTACTCGATCGATTATTTTAAAAATTGGAGGCTCTTGTGAGCAGTTTTTCTTATTATTTTCAGCGTTTCTAAACACCCCTAAGCCTCGGGGCCTTTTATTATGAATTTCACAAAACTTTTTGTAACTTATGGCAAGTGAGGGTGATCATTTCCGTGACGGGTTTGATTTCTTCGCTTAGTTCATCTCAAATGAGTTCATATCAAGAACGAGGAGAAAAATAAGAATCAACCGTGAATATAAATTGTATGTATGATTAACTTCTTACATTATCTTATTCATGGCTATGTTATCAAATCAAAACATAAGTGTGCTTTCTATAATTAAGACGTGAGAAGCGTATAATTTTATTCGTAAACGATAAATTATACTACTCCTCCGGTCTTTAATATAAGACTTAATGTTAAGTCAATTTTTGTACCTGTTTATCATATTTATTATTTTTTTTCTAAATTACCCCTCTTAATACTCTCTCAACCATAATCAAGTAAGTGAGGGAGAGAGAATATTAAAAAAGATGATTATGATATTTTAGGAAAAACATGTCATATTTTTTATAATTAACTAACTTGCCTAACTTTTTAAATTTAATCAAATTAGTTAAATATGTCTTATATTAAGGATTCGGGAAGTATTACATTTTGTTTAAAAAAAAATAAAAAAACTACCTACGGATCTCTGCAGCTAAAGAAGAACAGGGATATTTACTTATTTAGATGATAACGTGAAAGATGGTTCACAAAGGATATAAGTGCATATTTTGAAGCAAAAAGGCATAAAAGAGAAAGATGCACATAATTCAGGTAGAACCATAGAAGGAAGGCACATGATAAATCTTACCACCTCGAAGAAACAGAACGTCGTAACGCATAGGGAGCAAGTGGGCAAGGTTACGGTCCAGTTTTGTCGTGATTATCATTTTAAAACGTGAAATCACCCCATTTTGCTCCTCCTTTCCCGGCCGTTGCTCTGCCATTTCAGTCTCACTTCTCATGCTCTCCCTCCTTCTTTAGCCTCATCTTTTGCCATTCTCAGCTGTCATTCTGTCATTACTTGCGGTGCTGTGTTCGTGACCTTTTCCTCATTTGCTTCAATCAACCATGCTAATCCTATTTTAAGAGCACCTCCTGATTATGTGTATTACTCTCTTTTTCCTAAATTATACCTCCAATAAGTAATTATATGGACCCACACACACACACACACACACACACACACACTGTAAAACATGTGTGGCCAGCAAGGACTGCTTTGGGCTTCACTCACCCACACCCACTATATATATACACGACTCCCCATATTGATTCAGCACGCACTTGAGTGTTCAGATAATTCAGAGCTACTCGATTAGCCATGGCTTCGCGTGCAGGTCTGCATCTGTGCATGTTTTGTACCACCATATTGTCGTACTTGGGGGGATCGCTGGCTCAGTCGTCGTCGGAGAATTATATCGTCCATATGGACTTATCGGCCATGCCCGAAGCCTTCTCCACCCATCATGACTGGTACCTGGCCACACTTGCCTCTGCTGTTTCCGACTCTACTTCTCCTTCTTCAAAGCTCATCTATAGCTATTCCCATGTCATGAATGGCTTTAGTGCGAGGTTGTCCCCTTCTGAGCTTCGGGCCCTGAAAAACTCCCCCGGTTATGTTTCTTCCTACCCCGAATCGCCCGTCAAACTTGACACCACTCATTCCCCCCGGTTCCTTCGCCTCAACCCGCTCTCCGGCGCCTGGCCTGCGTCCGACTATGGTAAAGATATCATCGTTGGCTTGGTGGACTCTGGGGTCTGGCCGGAATCTCAAAGCTTTTTGGATAAAGGCATGTCCGACATACCCTCAAGATGGAAAGGCAAGTGTGAGAATGGAACCCAGTTCGATCCGTCCATGTGCAACAAAAAACTCATCGGAGCTCGTTTCTTCAACAAAGGGCTACGGGCCCAGCATCCCAACGTGACAATATCCATGAATTCGGCTCGTGATACTGAAGGTCACGGAACTCACACCTCAAGCACCGCGGCTGGCAGGGAAGTTAAGGATGCATCTTACTTTGGCTATGCCGCTGGTTCGATGACAGGCATGGCTCAGCGGGCTCGAGTGGCTATGTACAAAGCCTTTTGGGAAGAGGGAACCCTCGAATCTGATATAATAGCCGCTATGGATAGTGCCGTGGCAGATGGGGTAGATGTTCTTTCCCTGTCGTTTGGCTTCAATGAGAAACCAATGTACGAAGACCCCGTCGCCATAGCTGCATTTGCGGCCACGGAGAAGGGCGTTTTTGTGTCTGCATCAGCCGGGAACGAAGGACCGAGTCTTCGAACTTTGCACAACGGAACGCCATGGGTCACAACTGTGGCTGCTTCCACTCTGGACCGTGAATTTCATGGCGTTCTAACTCTTGGCAATCAAGTTTCAGTCACTGGCTTGTCCCTCTACGTAGGGAACTTCTCCGCAACCCAGCTCCCACTGGTTTTTATGGGACATTGTGACAATTTGAAGAAACTTATCAAAGTGAGGAGCAGCATAGTTGTATGTGAAGACACTTATCAGAATAGGTACCTGTTCGATCAAATCATGAATCTAGAAAAAGCAGAAGTGTTGGGGGGTGTCTTCATAACAAATAGCACAGACGCAATACTCGTCCTACAGTACAGCAATGTCCCGACAATCTCCGTGAGTCCAGAAAATGGAGAAATTTTGAAGGACTATATCAACAATAGTAAGTCGCCGAAAGTAAGCCGGCTGTCTTTCAAGATCACAACTGTGGGTAAGACACGAGCACCGAGTGTGGACAGTTACAGCTCAAGAGGGCCATCCCAAAACTGCCCTTACCTCCTAAAGCCTGATGTCACAGCTCCTGGAACCTCAATCTTAGCCGCATGGCCTACAAATGTCCCGGTAGCTAGAGTGAAGTCCCAGAGCTTGTCCAGCAAATTCAACTTGGCGACAGGAACATCCATGGCGTGCCCGCATGTGGCGGGAGTGGCAGCTCTCATAAAGGGAGCACATCCTGATTGGAGCCCCGCCGCCATTCGATCTGCCATAATGACATCATCGGACTTGGTCGACAACAGCCTGGGATTAATCAGAGACGTTGGGAACGGATTCAAGGCAGCCTCTCCCTTGGCCATGGGAGCAGGCCATATCAGCCCCAATAAAGCACTCGACCCTGGTCTCGTTTACGACGCAGGAACTGAAGATTATGTGAATCTTCTGTGTGGGCTAAACTACACTAAACAGAACATCAAGGCCATCACCAGATCCTCTTCTTTTAATTGTTCCAGCCCTTCCTTGGACCTGAACTACCCCTCTTTTATTGCATTCTTCAATTCCAACGATTCTTCGGCCTCGACGGTCAGAGAATTTCACAGAACTGTCACCAACGTTGGAGAGGGACCTGCTGTCTACCAAAATTCGATAACACCCGTAGAAGGGTTTAATGTCAGCATCATCCCCGACTTCTTGGTCTTTGCAAAGAAGAATGATAAATTAAGCTACAAGCTGATAATAGAAGGCCCTGAAGTCATGAAGGCCAAGGTAGCTTTTGGTCAGCTTGTTTGGTCAGACGAGTCGCACTCGGTTCGGAGCCCTATTCTGATCACAAGTCTCAGCTCAAAACCGAGAATGTCACCCACCTAAAAAAACTGCTTTTTTGTAAAAAGTATAAATCAGTTAGCGTGTGTTATGAATAATAATATCATTGCGATACTAGTGCTAATATTATTTAGTCCTGCGCGTGAATTCATAGAATATAACATATATATGCGTGTGTGTGTGTAAGTCTTAATTCAATCAACCATATATGATCGTATTTACAGTTATACAGATCTCCCGAATAAAAGAGAAATGAGACAAAATATAAGAATATATATAAAATTAATTCACTCGATTCTGTTCGTGATTATATTCTACTCGTGAAGAGGATATTTTAACGTCACTTTTAACAATTGGCCAAAAGAAAATGTCACTTCCAACGGGCTTGAGTTTTGATTTAACTCGTTTATTTTGACCCACGAGGTCATTAAAGGGGCAAACATAACAAGCGGGTTTTAGAGAATCATTACTGATAGCTAGGCAAAAGTGAAATTGGAACAGCAGAATGCATGCACGGATGAAGTGAGAAGCGAGGAGCAGCATGGAAGGTCGAAAAGTTGAGCAAATAAACGTAGAAAAGACGAAGAATATGATGCATGAGAGCATCAGGATCTATGAACAAGACACATGCATCCTGGCTTTACATGAATATGGGGTTATAAAGCACCCATCATTTACGAGACCATTGTATCGTTTTGCATCTTATTTTATATATATGTTTAATTGGGAAGAGAAAGGGGCAAGTGTAGACACTTGACACTATATATGTATATATATGGCCCGGCATTTCTTTAATTATAATGTAAGGAGTAGTGAACTTTTTTCCCCCTCCATTCTAATGTGAGCCACCAATAATGCTCTCTTCTTAGATTAGTAATGAGGAGTAGTGTTAGAAATATTTGAATGAGTTTATTTGTAATTGTTGGGTGCTTGTTGTATTTCGTTTCTGTAAGCCCATTAGTGGCCCATTCTTGTGAGCCCTTTAGTTTAGGGTCATAGAGCTGCGCATTGTATATAAATATTGGGTCCGTTGTTGGCCCAGGTGTAATTCTTTTCTCAGTTGTGATTCAATAAAATACTTCTTTTCCAGTCCAAGTCGTGTGTTTTAGGGATTCTTGGAGCAGGTCAGTGGTCAACAAGTAGCAGTACCCATTTCCCCAGAGTTGCTTTTTATTAGTTGGCAGCCCAAAGCATAGAAAAAATTGAAGGCTCTTACAGCAAGGAAATCCCATGCATGCATCGCAAGGCTCTGTCACTGCACGGGAACAACCGGGAAAACTCTTGTATTTCAAGAAATGGTTCTTGCGAAGGCTACGGCCAATGATTTTCAGTATCAACTGTTTGCTTATCGTTCATGATAGGGTGGCCGAGTTCAAATATCGAGTGCTCGTCCCTAAACTTCAGCTGAGAGCATAATACAATCTTCCTTATTTTTACTTGGAAAAAATATATGCTAATTTCTGTCTGTGAACATGTGGCTTTTGGTCGATCTACTGCTTAAATTCTTTATTTTCATACGTAACATATACAAGCCACTCAATGTACAATTCAAAGTCGTAGCTTGTTATGTATGTTGATTCGTAAGATTCCAAATTTTTTGTTTTGGTATATGCGCGATGAAAAATACTAAAAAATATTAAGACAAGGGGGATTGTAATTCCACAGCCTGTTTTGCAGCATGACTCGAGATGGGGCGTCAGCAACCCCTGCTACCTCTTGGGTGCTGCTCCTTGCTGCCCTTTAACTGTGGAGCTCTTCCCAGATATTTTTTTCTTTTGTGATTCTTTTCAGCATTAAATTCTACATAAAATTAGTGACATTTTGGTATCTTATTTGTTAAAAAATAGTTTAATTTTTAATTTTTAAAGTGTAGAATCTAGTAATTAAAAAAATATGCGAGAAGAACCCTATAAAAATGTCCCACGACTCCGTGCGTTGAGATGTCATGTCGAGTAGAAAAGTAGTTGTGGGAAAAAAATTGTTTTTTTTCAAATCCATTTGTAGTGCAGTTGGACTCTCCATTATCGAAGACGCCACCCAGAACTGGATGTCATGATTAGAGCCATCAATTGGGCCAAATCTCCTTTTTTGAAAAAAATGGCTAGTCTGTTCAGTTCAATGAAAAGGGCGGGCTTTGTTATGTAAAACAGCCCAAAAAGAAGTGGGTCAACAAAATTAGCCCATCAAATCTACCTCCCAAACTGAACGGGCTCTGCCCAAAACAAACAACATGGTGCTTGGCGATGAGATTATGACGTGGGGCGATACTTTCGTCTGGCCGACTACATTGAATATTTATTTGAATATATCCTCCATGTCAATTGGAATGTGTAGCCGCCTGAATCACAACAACTAACGTTATTTTTGTTCTTTTACTCCATCAAATTCAATAGAAGTTTTCTTATGGAGATTAAAACTTTAACAAATCAAAATGAAGGAAAAGCAAGAAATAGCTGGTGAGGCTATGAGTATTGGCTCACAGCGGGCTAACCTTGTTTTGCGTGCATTGCCAGCCCCAGTAACTTCGTAATTGACTTTGGCCACAATTTATTTATAAAAAAAAACTTAGTAATTGACAAATATGTGCGTTGTTTAAAATTGTCACCATGGGGTCTGATTCAGACCAACATACCCAATTCAACACTATCGTCTCTTACAATGGGACACACGGCACGGCATCGGCGTAATCAGCTCCTCGAATTAAAAATGGCGCCCATCAGATTAAGATCAAGCAAGGTCAATTCAGCAGGCAGCAACTTTGTGGTAAACACAATCTCGTTAAAATTAATGGCAGAGCACATGGCATTGTACACGTGTTTGTGTCCCACTGCTTGCTGTATATTCAAGGGGTTTGGTATTCACAACAGCAACCATTAGATTGGTTTTGGGTTCAGTGACAACTGTAATTTGACTGTCGGTGATGCGCATTGGCTTCCTTGTTTCTTCCTTCAACTGCTCCCCCATTGGCAATCCCCCAGACGTCACCGTTTTCCCATTTTCTGTCTTACTAGTTTTTTTTTTTTTGGGCCACCCCGCCCTCTGTTCCATGATGTACCCCATGTGTCTGTGTCGTGTCGTTTTGGTAAAGCATAATGCTCTCTTTTCTCATTAAGAAATAATAAGCGCACTGCGTTTTCCATTTCTATTTGCAGTTGGACTCGTT